TTCAGTTCAGTTATTTAAGTGCCTGACTGTAGCATTAAAGCCAATTACACCAGGCATTGCAGAAAAAAACTCAGTGGTTTTAGTCCGCAAGTGAACTATACTGACCGAGTGACTGCCGCTGGTTGGCAAAGTTAGTGCCAACTTACAAATAAAAAAACCAAAACAAATAAATAAATAGACATCAAAGGAGACAATGTATAAAAGACAAAATTACAAATAATGTAATGACAGAATCCAAATTACAGTAAACCCTTGTTATAATGGGCCTGAATATAACAGACAAAATCTGGCTGTTTACAGTTGTGAATTTCTAGAGATGCTGAGGCACTAAGAAAGTTTTGTAGTTAGAAAACTAAGTAAAATAAAGAACCCCAACATAAACTTTATATAATGACACTGTATGTATTTATGTTTATTGTGTGTGTTGGCTATGTATCCTGTGGTGTACTACCGTGAATATCTCTTCACTCGGTTATAGCAGACATTTGTGGTAATGGACACAATGTCCTCGTTATTAGTTTGTTATTACGAGAGTTTACTCTGTTCAAATAATACTAAAAATCAGAGCTAACAGACTTTAAAATTAATCATTATTATTATTATTATTAGTGATAATATAAATTAATGTAAAGCAGTTGGCATTAAAAATAGTTGTAATCCCACAGATTACATTAGCCACAGAAATACATATCGGTGGGAAACTAACCTTTTGTATGGGGGTAAACATTAAAGACAGAACAGTCTCTGCTTAATTAGTAGGTATCAATAAACTAACACCTGTTAAGAACAGATAAGAAAAGATGGTTATTTTATGGAACTTCTATGGAAATGAATGGCAAAAGGGGATACTAATCATAGAAGATGCTCATCTGTTGCAGCATATTTACAGATTAAAAGAAACATCTTGAATTTTAGTAATTTATTTATAAATTTAGTAATTTAGTTTACTGATCAAATTTATATTTTTATGAGAATGTGAAGTCCTTTGAGATTATGATTCCATTGTGAATATGTATGCTGTGGACTTGAAACACTATGGAAAGATAGCTTGATAGGGTAAACATAAATAATAATAATATAGAGGCATTACTTTTTAACAAAAGATAATACTGTATGACACTGTAATACTGACTGAAACAGTGCTGTTTATATTACTGCCACCTTCTGATTGTACTATAAATGAGATTATTTATAGAGTTGGTTTCCATGGAAGTCATAAACTGATAGACAGTGCTTACTAATTGCCTATAGATGATTTCTGTGCCAAAGGTCTCATTTTTTAATAAATAAGATCCATTGTGGATCTTTCCACACTCCTGTTTCTGTCATCCTTGGCAGACTTAGAACTTTCATGATGAAAGGCATGACCTTTGTGTTGCAAAAGCAGGCTTCCTCTGCTGGCCGTTCAGTGCGTAGAGTTACCTCTCATGCCATACAGTGACCAAGGACTGGACAAGTGGGGAATGGGGGTTAAATTTTCAGCAGGGATAGAGGTTTATTTTTCCTCCATAGTGTCCAGATAAGCTCTGAGACCCACTCAACCTCATGTCTGTTGGGTGTAATGCCAAGGTTAATAATGCATGGAGCTATATTTCCACTCTCCTATGTGTCTTACCACAGTAGATAATTAAATACATAGACAACCTTCATTTAGTTAAGGCAGCGCATAAGATGAGGGCATTTTAAATAAGGCTACTAGTCCCATGTAAAGCCATATTAGTCTAAGCTGTATGAATTGCTGAAACCTGACACTAATTATGCCCATGTGAGATAAAGGCAATTCCCAGAGTACTGCTAACAATATCATGTTATGGATTCATGTCCATGAAGTTAGTTCTGTGACAGTCTAGGTTCTGGGTAGCAAATATGAGTACACAGTTTGTGAGACTAATAAAGTCATTCTCTGAGATTAATACTAGTGTCTGTGTATAAGAACAGAATAAAAAATCTTATTTTATATTAATGAAATATAAGTTTATTTTTTATGCTTGTTAAAATTAATTGTTTTAATAATTTATAAATGTAATTAATAATACATATTAATAAATGTTATATATTTTGTGAAAATACATTATTTTGGAGATGCTAATATAATGCTTGTTAAAAATATAACAGGAGGCCTCTTGATCTGTTATATAAATTTCTGCAAACTTTTCTCCTTCCTGGCTTTCTCCCACATCTCCTTCAAATCAGTTTTATTTGACCATCCTCGTCGTTCATTTCTTCATCCTCCCACCCTCTCATTTATATGGAAATGGTATAAGTAAATATAGTTCAGAACATGCATTAATATACAAAAAAACAAAGATAAAGCTATCCCTGTAACAGGCCAAGGCCCATAGAGTTGTGGGATGTTGAGGCTCCCATATAATCAAGACAATCATCTCACAGATGATGGTAAGGTTGTCAACCTTACGTGCCGGGCACCCTTTACCCCCCAGGAAAATTCCGGTACTCATTTCTGTTAGAGGCTGAGTCAACCCCAGGGCTAGAAGGATTAGGTAAATTGAAAAAATCCAATTACCTCATCGGGACTTGAACCTGCGACCTTCCAGCTTATAACTTGGTGCCTCAACCAACTGTACTACTACATGCCCCTTATACTGCTTAGGTTTATTAAGTAAAAAAATATATGAAAGTGAAACCAAGGGGTTCTATTACAATATTGCAATAATTACACTTTTCAGTTTAGTTTGGTGGATGCAGTCCCATTTAAACTTAAAAGATAAGTATTTATGAGGAAGAGAAGCTTAAAAAGTAATATGACATTTGAGGTCCTCACAGTAGTGGTGATGGAGATTACTGTCTTCTGGAACATGATGCCATATAGTCTTGAGGGACTCGGACCTGAGAATGACTGCGTTGGTGAGGGCCAGCAGCAATTTTAAACAGTGGACCCATCCTCTCATTAGAGAGGATGTGACATAAGAGTTTGCTGTCTTTTGGGAATTACCCCATGTAGTGTGGTAGAGAGATACCAGCATGTCAGTGGAAGCTGTTGCCTTTCTCTTCAGCAGTTTCCTTCAAAAGACTGTTACGTTTGTATTAGACTACATACACAATATGACATCCGAGATAATAGTAATCTATATGTCTGCCATAATGAGAACCTCAGACCTGACACGTATGTATTTAATTTCAGCTGGCTGAGAAGGATAAAAAGATTCATCAGTTTGAGCAGTGACTAACAGAAATTATCCAGCCAGGTCACACCTTGCTACTACAGAAATCTGGCAGCTCTTTAAGTGGAGCAAAGAAGTAAGTTATTCTTGGCAAGCAGCCTAACAATGCCACTGATGAAAAAGTGAGGTGACCCATCTGGGATGAAGTGGACTCTTCCCTTGTCTAGTGACAGTCCTCAGATATCACCACTTAGAAGAAAGTGAATGTATCATTATATGTAAATTGGCTGGGCTTGTGAGGCTAAATCTGTGATGTTGCATTATTTATCAGTAATCCTACCAATTGGCATTGTATAGTCTGAACTACTGACAGCATTGTTAAATAAACCATACATAAAACAAATATTTTTGTCCTGCAATGTTCATAATTTAATGACACTCATTCATCTGTGTAGTAAAGATATTTTATTCCAGTTATTCAGTTCAATAAGAGACTATAAAATTCATACTGAATTGAATATATGAAAGATACAACAGTAACAATTAGTAATGTAAAAGTAAAGTTGTCTCTACACTTAATTAAGCGCCACACCATGAAGTTTGGATGAGGGAGTGTAGGCATAACACCATGAATTCTTAACCTCAGCACTAGATGGAGGTGAGTGATCAGCTTCATACTCTGGGGAAGGAGCCCCTGGGACTCACTGGATAAGAGCCATTCCAATGCTCTGGTGAAGAGATAAATTTCTCACCTTTGCCAAGAATCAGACCACAATCCCTTGGTAATCGAGCCCATAGCCTAGATGTTATACTAACCGAACTGTCATGACTCCCACAGCTGTTAACAGTGACAACCATAAAATCATTCTCCATGTGTTATTGCTATTTTATTTCATTCAGAGTGTCTCTTAGGTAGTGAGTATGAAAATTACTGTTTTCCAGGATGGGATGCCATGTAGTATGGTCTATGGTTACAAACATTTAGGATGAATATGCTGCTTCCACTTCTGTCTTCTGCCATGAAGATGGAGGCTGTCAGACTAGACCTTGTTATATCACAGGAGACAGTAATTTTCATTCAGTAAGTTATGACTGCAATGCTGCTTGTTCTTGCACCACAGAAATTTTCATGATCATTATGTTTTGGAGGGAATCTACAAATACAGTGATGCAGAGGCTTCCAGTGGTGGAATATGGATTACAGATATGCATTCTATAACATTAATGAATATGTATAATAAAGCAATAAGCCAGGGATTCTCAGATTTTATGATGCTGCAACCCTCTAAAATAATGGATACTTTAATGAAACATCTCTGGGTATATGGGGACAGCAGGAATCCAAATAGCTTTACAGCCCCCCTGCAGTGACAGTAAGCTTTAAAATGTGCCTGTATAATCACAAAGAAATTCACATAATGTTTTGCTGAGTGCAGCTGGATTTTCTGAAATCACCTGTAATAATCTGACTGGCTTGCCAAAATGTGCATAGGTACAACTCTGCTTTAGATAATTCTTGAGAACATGATTTATTTAATCCGTCTTGCAGTGCATACA